ATCTATTCAAATAACTTTTAATGCTGGCAAACCACAAGTCATGTATTCTACAGGACCGATGGAGATTCCGTGATGGAAAGATGAAGAACCTAGACTGACCACTTCCAACTGTATCTACCACTTCAACTGCGCTCGTGGAGCGAGTTATATTGGCTGTTGCTCTAGGAACTTGATTTCTCTTGCTCGATAACATCTACCAGTATGGTTAAGTAAGGTGTAGTGAGAAGCATCAACAGCATGATATTAGACCACCTGATCCGAACCACCCACAAAGGCAGTATTGAAGAATTCTTCTCTATCATCTACCGGGTACGAAATAAATCGCTAAAACATCAACGTACCGCATGCTCCAAACAGCAGAGGCTATCGCAATTTGCGTGAAACAACCAGTGCTTTGTGTGCAAAAGAAGCAAGTCCAGCCAGCCACTACTACTCCCGACCTTCAGTGGAGACTATAAATTCATGAATTTGTATTATCTTTCCTAATTTTTCTGACATTCAGTGTATTGTAATGTTGCTGATACTATCGAACTGTAATCCATTGATATTATTATTATTATTGATTCGATGTTACTTAAACAACATTATTATTGTTAATAACACTAATTCATTCACCATTATGTATACATAACTGTAGGACCTGATATGAAATTATCGAAAAGAAAATTTTCTTTATTAATTAATTTTTCTAGTATATTTGAATAGCCTAGGAACATGTCGGTTAATTTCAATCGAAATAAATAGTTGGATTGCACTATGCAACCGGGCTTCTAATGATAGGAAAAGTCGAAAACATACCCTACTACATGCCTGAACATTGCACAAGTGATTATGTCATATCCCATACTATACACCAATTTACGTGTGTTTTTGTTGTCACAAATACTTAAGGAGGAGTAATCGTACCTCGCAAATGAGGATCGGGTGCCATACACCCAAATCTTTAGAAAAATCAATAAATTGTGAAACCTCGATAAACGCAGGTGGCAGACCACCAACTTCGTCTATGAATAAAAGGGTTAATTGATGCAAATGACAAGATTGATATCAAAACACCTTTCAAGATTATCTTATAGATAAAGACAGTTAAAGGAGCTTACTGGAATACGCAGAGGCGGTAACTATCCGTAAACTCTTAAGCCTCTCCCCACAGTATTATTACCGTTAATTTACCTTGGTAATCTATATCTGATTATATTGACTGAAATTAACCGGCATACTGCTAATGTCAGGATCGAGCTAAGTCATCAATCAAAAGACATAAAATTACGAGCGAACTAGTATTTGGCGGGACGGATGAAGACATCAATGCCAGAACAGGAAAGGCAAGATAAGCCTTCATCAATCTGAAATCAGTTTGAAAATCTTCTGCACTCCACAGCATAAAGAACATGATTCAAATTTTTAACTTTAATGTTAAGTCAGTCAGCTCATAAACTTGGCGTGTGGTTCACGAGAAGCATTTCCAAGAGGCCACTGCAAACTTTTATCAACAGCTGCCTTCACTCGCTCCATCATATTCAAGATCAAATAGCTAACCAATAAGATTCAGCAACGCGAAACTCTGGGAACAAACTAACCAAGAACCTATTGCTCAACATATACTCAGGAGAAAATGGAGATGGATTGGGCACACGCTGAGGATACCGTCGAATAACACCGCACGCCAGGTCATCGTTCTAATGGAACGAAAATGGGAAAAATCGAGTTGGGCATGAATCCAAGGGCGACATAGAGGAGATTGTGCAAGGAGGAGATCAAAGACTATGAGCAATTGTGGGACCGGCTAAAGAGGATCGCAGAGAATAGGACAAAAAGTGGAGATGTGCTGTTGAAGCCCTATTTTCCAATCGGAATCCAATGGAACAATAATAGTAATAATAATAATAAAAGTATTTGAATACATTTATTCTAATACATATGAACAGTCTAAAGGCATATCAGTTAATTTCTGACTGACTGATTGGTTTGCACCGATGTGCAGCAGTTCAAGTCGCCACCCTTTACTTAGCACACAAAGCAAGAGAAGAAAGTAAAAGGAGATTCAAAAGAGAGATAATAAACAGAAACATGAGGCAAAAAGAATAGTAATATAGAGAAACAATATAGTTCTATTGGAAATTGTACGTCACAAGGAGTGGATGCATCTGTGCCAGACATTGAGAACGATTTTTAGCCACATCACTAGTTGTCTCCAGCCATTGGTTTTTACTGTCCCGAAGACCCCAACGAGGAAGACAGTCTACACCTTACGTGGCTGCCTTAAACTAACTGTTGTGGATTTCATTAACTGATGAAGCCATGTTTTCGTTTGACCACCACTGACTCTTTTCCAACCATTTCAATCGATGTAACTTCACAGCCTCGTCTATTGATTTCCCCTCCTTACCTAGCACTTGACTGAAGCCTAACGTCAATATTGCTCACCTTATTATACCATTTCACAATTGGAGATAGAACGCAGGCACCTATGATTAAAGACAGCTAGCTAGTCAGGCATTTCATGTCTTCCACTCTCAATAGCCATGTCTCGCTCACAGCCATAAAGGAGGATGGAGCGGACGGACTGCTGAGCAGTACACACGCCTTTTGGTCGACAACCAGCCAGGATATCACGTCTACGCTCGGTTAATTTCAGTCAATTATATTACCAAACATAGTGTAAATAATCCTTTTGTTATAGATCCTTTATCATCATTTGGTTTACTTCAATTGGCCGTTCTCCTTTTTTTTCTTCATATAAACTGATTCAACAAGTAAACAAATGCGTATATACGCGCACGCGCGCCGCACTCGCGTGATCACACTGTTGTTCGAAATGTACTGAGCAAATACACATCACGCCATGAAGAAAATAAAAGACAGATTCAGCGAAGAAAATTTTCTTTATCGACGAAATCATCTTCAGAGGCTGTACAGCCGTATTTATATTTACAAAAAATATATAGTGGTCTATTATTGAGTAATAGGGGAACTGGGGCGTTTGGAAAGGATAAACTGCCGCTTTGGGCCACCTCAATGTTTGTTTATAACTTCACTTGCTCGTGTGGAGCTAGTTATATTGGCCGCACAAAGCGTACGCTTTCCAAACGCACCTCTGAACATTATCCGGCATGGTTAGCAAAGGGACAATGCAAGACAATTACTAGCTCAATTCTCGAGCATTTGGTGAACGCAGGCCACGTAGCTCCACCAGAATCGTCTTTCAAGATCATCTACAAAGTGAAGCCAAATGGTACAAAGGGCGTCAGGTTTCGGCTTTTGTGTATGGCGGAGGCTCTAGCAGTTCATCAATTCAACCCTGAACTCTGTATACAGAAAAAGTTTGTCCAGTCTCTTATTCTACCTTGGTCTTAAACTTCTCACTAATCGTCACCTGTTAAAAAATTTTGATTTTTTTCTTTTCTTTTTTGTAGTTTTTAATTTTACTTTTAGTTTGCTTTTGCTTTAATAAGTAATTCACTATTATCACTCTCATATGTTCCCTTTGTACATTTTCACACTCTCTTCACACTTGTTAAATTGACACTCAAATACCTTTATTCTCACTTAATAGCTATTTTAACTTTATCAAATTTCTAACTTTTTGCCCTTGAGTACCACGTAATTTACAACTTTTAATTTTCACTTCTAAAACCACTTCCGAGTAATTATATCAATTATGTCACCCCCTATTACTCAATAATAGACCACTATATATTTTTTGTAAATATAAATACGGCTGTACAGCCTCTGAAGATGATTTCGTCGATAAAGAAAATTTTCTTCGCTGAATCTGTCTTTTATTTTCTACATCACGCCATATTTTTTTCAGTTAAACTTTGTCTTTTAAATAACGCTACTCTCCATGCTTACTCTGAAGAGACTAATTGTTTGAGAGATATTATTATTATTTTCTAAAAATCATGAGTAAAAAACAAACAAACATACACATACATACAATAGAATAGAATAAAAGTTTTGAGAAATCAAAGAAAAGACAAATTCTCACTCACTCTCTGCTCACACAACTCTACAACCAACACACAACAACATATATATATGTATAAACTAAAATCGGATCAGATATAATTAAACAATAATATTAATCATTAGAAGACAGAGAAAAGCAAAAGAAGACATCACTAAGAGGATAGAAAAAGAATAGAATTGCTTTCTATACAATCTACTCTCTACTATAATCCCACTTTCATAATCCAATATTCTCATACCATATATATATATGCTTCCAAACAGAGAAGCCTTTCACATCAATTTACAGCAACAGAGATTAAGAAAGAAGACACAGTGGACAGCAAAATAAGTGATAATGAAAGTAATAATAATAACAGTAAAAGTGATTAAGTAACAATGATATCTTCGAAAATTAGTAAGTTTGTAGGAAAATCATCCATTGGAAAAACAGCCAGGTTGTATTGTTGACAGAGATATTATTTTTGCATCCTCGTTTTTTCTTTGGAAATGACTCTTCAACCACCATTCCATAGCTGAACAGCTTGGCTTCTATCTTTGATAAAGTGGAGTTATGCGTGTGTAGTTGTGCTGAAGAGTCATTCGCAAAAAAAAAACACGGGACGAAACATTGATTGGTTCAGGAGACAACTTGCCAGTCTTCTCTAATTGATGTCAGCTCATGATTCAATTTAAGATAAAAGCATATTAGAGTAAGAAACAATACAAGTAGTAAGGTGTAAATCAAAGCACAAAAAAACACAATGGTACACAGTATGAAATAAAAACCCGGAGGGAGGGGAGCGGATGTTGTAAGTCAATTTGTATACATATTCAGTGCGTGGGCGGGGGAAAGAATAACAGCAATAATATTAATAATAATAATAATAAAGAGATATTATAATTAACCACAGAGATAGGTAGATGGATGGATGAGTTAAAATCGAAAGAGATAGATGGATGGGGTGGATGGGTACTTGAAAGCTGGATAGATAAACAGATGGATGGATGGATTGGATAGATGTGTAGATGTGTGGGACTAGACTTGATTAAAACACTACAGGACTAGGTAGTATTAGTCGGTTTGAGGAGTGACAAGCAAATAAAAATCTAAAATGCAACAACAAAAAAAAACAAAACAATTATATGTGATCTGACCTTCAGCCTCCTGTTTAGAGCTCTTCAAAATAATCCACAAAAAGGTAATCAATACATAATTTATATCGATCATGATAATAATGATAAAAACACTATGGACTTCTTAAACGACGGATATATATACATATATATATCCATATAAGACAGAGATAGTATTTCATATAAGATAACTTGAACAGAAATATGCAACAGATGCAAGCGAGAAATCATCAAAGGTGGTTAGTTACAACAGAGTGAATGAAGTAAGATGAAACACAGAAACTGTCTGTGTCTTGTGCTATAATATTTATCTTTTTGTTAGACAAGACAAGACAAACAAACAGACACAGACAAAGAAACAAAATATTTATTTATACTTTTTTTTCTGGAAAATTCATCACCTAGTTTCTGGGAGACAATCCAGTGTAGTACCAAAATATCGATCACCGAAATTTCCAACACCCGGTATAATATGATAACTTTCATTCAGACCAGGATCAACAGCTGTAGTAACAATATGCGCCTGAAAGTGGGAACAGAGAAAATAAAAGTGTTTAAAGAAAACCAAAGTGTAAGGAAATAGGACACATGTAGTCATGCGCATAATTACAGGACTGACCACCAGTTGACATCAATTACAGAACGATTTGTAAAGCTGGAAATACTAGAGACAGTTGTTTCGCCAACCTATTTTGGGACTCTTCATCAGTACGCACCCACTGGAGAATGATGATCAAGAGGGCTTCGTGTGCGTTTGGAAGTATGAAGTTACATCGACTGAGATGATTAGGACATGTGTTACGTATGCCTAGCCATCGCCTTCCTCCACAATGGGGCAATGTTAGCTGACATTGGATGGGTCAGGTTGGAAAAGAGTTAGCTAGTGGTGGTCAAACCAAAACATGGCTTCATCAGTCAATGAAATCTACAACAGTTAGTGTAAGCCAGTAATGTAGGAAGGTGTAGACTTCCTGACTGGTTGGGGTCCTCGGGACGGTAAAGCCAATGAAGGCTGGAGACAGTTGGTGATATGGCTAAAAATCGTTCTCAATGTCTGGCACAGATGCATCCACTCCCTGTGATTTATCATATCCAATAAAACACTATTTTTCTTACATATTACTATTCTGTTTGCATCATATTTCTGTTCATTATCGCTCTTTTGAATCTCTTTTTACTTTATTCTGTTGCTTTATGTGCTACAGGGAGGGAGTGTGGCAACTCAAACTGCTGCATATCGCTGCAAAGTTCTACGTTGAAACGAGTCAGTCAGTCAGTCATGCACCCACTGTCAGGATTCGAACCCAGGACCTTCCGGTTACCAGGCAAGCCCGTAGACCATTATGCCACTGGGACCTGATCCAATGACCAACTCATGAATTCAACTTCTGCCAACTCGTGATATATATATATATATATATATAATGTTTAGCGCAACCGCCAGCCAGTGTCACGGGTGAGCAACAGTCCTTTTGCCTGACTTTGTAGAAAAAACAAATTACCGTACATTGTCAAATACAACAGATCACTTTATACACCATCCTACTTCACAGAAGATTATGAAACTGAAATGAGGCGAAATAGTATGACCAATGATCTACCTCAAACGCACAGATGATTAACGACACAAAATTCATTCATTGCCCAATCGACTCCTCTACGTAGCACAACATCATACAACTGAACTATCATGATACCAGTAATGCTGCAAGCTTATAGATATGAGAATAACCTTTCTTACTTACTGCATTAAAAATTTTAAATGTAGCAGCAGTTGAGAATAAATAAAATCATCAATAGAATAGTAACAATAATACAACACAAGAAAACACGTATGCTGACGTGATGATAGAGACAGTGAATTATAACCTGTTGTATGAGGGTTATTGATACAACCCTGTATTTTCGAGGTAGAAAAAAAAAAAAAATCTTAAAACATTGTTTATAGACTTAGTACAGAATATGATTTTAACATCGAAGATACAATTTCTTGTAATCCATTGTGTTTGGAAATAAAGTCGATCGACATCTGTGCTTAGTGTTGTCGATTCGGAGCTCTGGAAATAATAGGATCTTAGGATTAATTCCTTGACACCTGGTAAATAAAGCTAAATTTCAAATGATGACTAGGTTTTGTGTAATGTTGACCTTTTGCATTGATATTGAAAGCCTTTATAGTAACAGTGTCGAAAACTTCTGAGTAAACAGAGGGTTGATATTTCAGATGTTGGGTTTATAGACACACTTGATTGAATTCAAAGCAGATTTCATCGTCAGTCAATATCAACTGAAGAAGAATTATTAAAGAACTAGAAGAGACAGTGAATAGCCATTGCATCCTTGTTTTAAAAGTATTTAGAAATCAGAAGGTATGACCTTATCAGCAGTCGAATACAGAGCTGTCTGGTTGCAAGCTTCAACTACTCAGTTAGAATCCAACAGCCCAGGAATTCAAACTTCAATTAGTTCCCGGCCTACTATTATTTATCAATGACTGACCATGGTATGGACTTTCTATAGTTCTAATAAAACGTCATAACCAATGGGAACATAGAACTATCGATTACAATGGACAGCGAATTGGCAGAAGTTTACATTTCAGAGTGAATGGACTCCGACTCAGAGTCTGAATGCTACTGTGCTTAGCACATAACCGGAAGGCCCTTGGTTTAACTCTGTTACAGGGCGGAGAGGCCAAAGAGTTCTAAACATTGCGATGAAACAAAAATTCTGTGCTCGCCAGCTTTTAAAAGTTCTTTAAATAACAACGTTTCGTGGAGGAATCTAGCTTCACAAATGTATCGATTATAAAAGAAAGCTTACCTTTGGATATGTATAAGCAACAGAATGTACACCTTGAGTAGCCATTATCAATGAAATAAGAATGATTCTATCTTCTGGGACATCATGTTCAACTAAAATACGCATAGCCATAATTGCAGCAGCCCCAGTGGCCACAGTAGCATCCATCAGGATAACAAAACAGTCCTGGATAAAAAACAAATTAAATTACGCAACGATGATTAACACTATGCATTCATGAAGAATCCACAACCAGACATTAGGGAAAATAAACACGTAGTCCAGCGAACAGGCTATTTTCGGCGAATTCATTTTCTTCAGCTGTACAACCACAGGAAACCCACTTGGTCAACTAAAAAGTTTCTACAATTGGGTGTCAATTGGACGAAAACGAGATTAAATTATAACCTTGCCACTCGGACCCGACGCATATGCAATCCTGACGCCTAAGAAGGAGAACCCAACAAGATCCATCGACAAGAATATCACACCAAAAGTTCAGAGAAACGAAACATTACTTGTTCCAAAACTGAAACTTTACATGAATCTGGATTTCAATGGAGGGAGACATAACCTGTGATACCATCAAGAGAAGAAATTCAGCATCTTTGAGAAGAACATTCTTCGAAACAATGCTAAGAGTAGTGTTCTCTAGTTGTCCACTGATCTTCAGAAGTCCAAAGGATATGACCTCCCATCTGACTACTTCTATATGCATATATCAGTTCATCAGTTGCTGTGAGCCAGCTACATTGATCCTTCAAGGCATGTCCTGCCTGTCTGTCTATAAGAGTTCAAAAACACTATCCCGAGTGGTTGCAAAAATGTAGTAGTGCCTCTATAACGAGTGCAATAATCGAAAACCTTGTCAATACTGGTCACCACAGTAAAGAAACTGGCAAAGGCAATGTGCGTTCGTTCCTATTGTTTCGCTGAAGCTTTAGTTATTCTGTTAGAGAAAGCAAAGCTATGCATTATTATTATTATTTAACCACTTCTACTATCATTGTTAACAAACTTATTGATTTCTACTGAATTGGTTTTTCTCTTTCCTAACTCTTTATAACTCTTGTATTTCTTTATAACTATTACACGACTCCATATTTCTCTTCGTTTCAATGTACATTCTGATTACAACTCATTCATCATTAAATTATTTATCGTATTACTTAGCTCCACTATACTTATTCGACTTCTTTTATGTATTTGTGACAACTCATCACTTTTCTTACTACCCTTTTTCATGAGAGAAAACAAAAATTGTGCATATAATAATTGCGATTGTACAGCCAAAGAGGAAAATGAATTCGCCAAAAACAGCCGCTTCGCTGAACTACAAGTTTATTTTCACTAAACATTGTGCAAGCAAAATAATAAGAAAAACTCTCCCCTTTTTTGTCTGGGTCAAGATTAAGAGAGTTTGGAAAACAATAACAAAATTAAAAAATACTTCCAGTGAAAATCGATAAAACAATGTATAGAAAATCAAAACAAATGATTCAGCGGAGAGACTCTTTTCATCAAGCTGTACAGTCGTATATGTATATGGTTTTTAAGAAGTTATATCCGGTGAGGGAATTGAATCATAGGTGTGAATACATTAAATAATAATAATAGTAGTATGAAATGCAATTAAATCTAAAATGTTTGTGATTATAATCATAGTTAAATGTCAAGTGACAAAGTAAATTAATGTCATATATAGAATAATTCATAGCATGGATAGAACTAGAAAAAAGGGTGTGCAATTATAGGATTAGTAGACAAATCGAATAAAATAAAACGTTACGTAATATTGTATGAAATTTGATGGCATAGAATTTAATGTTGTAAAAAGGAATTGATTTAGAATGACAAGTGGAACAAGTGAAATAATACCGGGGACAATTAAAAGTGAGAGTATTAATAGTAACAATTGACGTAATAAGAAAGAGTATACAAATTGAATAGACAAAAATGAAAAATTGGTAGAGCTAAAATATGATTGGGGATTACCATACTTTAGCATAGAGGGATTAAGACCATGTTCCATTCAGAACTCAAAGGAATAAAATAACCATATATATACGATTGTACAGCTTGATGATAAATTCGTTGTTGAAAAGAGTCTCTTCGCTGAATCACTTGTTTCGATTTTCTATATGTTACAATGGGAATTTTCCATGATTTAAAACAATGTATCTCAGTGTTTGATTTCACCTGGGATAGAAACTCGGTATATTAAACATATCAAATGTTGGTGCGGCTTAGGAAGTCGAACCCGGAATGTGAGTTTCGTCCCATTTGTGGTTCGTCATCTGAATCTGCCGGTCTTTTAGTAGTTGATGGGGCTTCCAGTGAGACTTGAATCAATCACCCAACGTTTGAATCTTTAAACATCAACTAATTAATTTATTATACGTGCTTATTTATCCCACAGGACACTGATGGATGATATTTGAACACATATATGTGTATGTGTGTGTTAGCTATAAGTTTTAGTTAGACCAACAATGACTGAAATGTTTTACGAGTTGATCACGGATTGATATCAGTTACAGAACCATTGAAAACCAGGGAGTACTGGACAGCTGCTGTTTCATCCTAGTTTGGGAATCATCGGCAGTACGCACCCACTGGGATTCGAACCCAGGACCTTCCGGTCACAAGGCAAGCTCGTATACCATTCAGCCACTGGGACCCGATTCAATGGCTCATGAATTCTAACTTCTACCAATTCGTGATTTTAGCACGACCCCAACCATTGTCGTTGGTGTGAAATCCATCCACACACGTGACATCTAATTGGACCTCACTGGTCACGACTTCTCACTAGAACTCCAGGAAGCTCCAACCTGTAGCAAGTCACTAGCGAGCATCAGATAAATTTTCTGTAGTTTTTGGTTTGTAAGGATTAGTTATGTTGTCTAACTGATATCAGTCCGTGATCAACTCGTAATACATAACTAATCCTTACAGACCAAAAACTACAGAAAATGACAGAAATAAAAATCAAATCCGAATACTACTTAACACCATCGTAAAACCAGATAATCTACCGAAATAACTTATTTGTCACTAAGGATTGACCAATGTGTCTGTTGATAACGCAAAATGAATTTTTTTTGGTAAGCATGATAAGATAGCACACTGCATTCATTCGAAAGGTGCTATTTCCATAATTAGTAACGATAACGTATACACACAAGGAGTAACCAAAGTCACGATCTTGACTGTCAGTCAAATCCACCTGAGTATGAATAACTTGATGATAACATCTCAGAATGTAACGCTGATTGATTCGAGCTGGAATCTCCGAGTGGATATCAACCAGTCACTTCCAGGTTGTGCATAAATTCCTTGCTAACTAGAGTCGATGAGCACATGGTCTAGGCTTCTGACTTCCTGCCAATTGTCTGCAACTACTTTACAGAAAATGTATGTCCATACATGGTATGAGAAGAGTACGTGTGTCCACATCAGAGTAAGTGAAGTGAGCTTAAAGGCATGATATAACAAAACACCTGGTCATATACCTCTGGATAATTATGCTGTATCCATCATTAGTTTAGAGAATATACAAGAGTGGGGATTAAATGAAGAAAAGAGGAGCTGCTGTGTTGATACTTGTATAACACTGGTAGTGACTAGTACCAAAAGACTAAACTGCTGGCTTCACTGGTTCTCTGATTGAAGCCAGTTCGAGATCAATCTTAAAATCAATAAAATCCCTAAATAACCAACACTTGAAAATTGATGGAATAGCTCTACTCGGGCCGAAGGGAAGACAAAGGTAGAACAAATTTCTTTTGTGCACAAAGATTAGGACTGTTCTCTCGGATTCCCCATAACATTGTGTGTAAACAGCGAGTTCTAATTCGCATTCGAAAGGTTCAATTGAATATGATAGACGATAACCTTGAAGGAGCTTCTTTTGTCTACTTGATGACTGCTTTCAATCAAATGAGGCAAAACATAGGTTCTTTGGATTTTTCCGGCCTTTTCCGAACCAGGAAAGAAGATGCGTTTGTTAAGCTGTCTAGTTGTGAGCTCTATATAGACTTTCTCTACAGGAGCAGCTTAACTTATAAATCCACATAGAAGTAGCACAAATAAGTAGCCCATTTTAATCTACAGCACACTAGTGCCTGACTACAGGAGGAAGGTACTGGGGGAGTCGTGACCAGCTGGGTCCACCGAGTTGGGTGTAAAGATAAATACTTGCCAATGACACTGACCGGCAGCCATGAGTCGGCAGAAGTCATAATGGATGGTCCATTGGTTTCCGTCCCAGTGGCTGAATGTTGAACGAGCCTACCTTTTAAAGAGTTCCTGGGTCCATGGGTGCGTAATGCTGAAGACTAAACAAATGACTAAAAAGTTAGTGATCAGTCTTGAAAATACTGATCAACAAGGGGAAAAATAATTCGTCTATACATCCCTACTTATCAACGCATTGTATATTTTGATAAACAACAGAAAAACTATAAAGTTTAGAACATAATTTAAAGGGGGAATTATATAGAAAGGATATATTTACCTTTATATCTCGAGGTAGACGAATATAGTGTAGTTCTGGTTCACCGGTGTCAGGATTAGTTTGTATCAAAATTTTACCCAAACGAACATCTTTATATACAGCGCATAATGCTGGTTCCAGGGCTTCACCAGCTCTCAGAATGGATACACCGCATACCTGAGTACCTGTAGCTAACTGTCGACCACGATAAGTAATACCCTGAGGAGTTTCAATATCTACATCCTTCATTTAAAAACAAAAAAGAAAGTTAAACAAAAACTGCAAGTCAATTTCATGAAACGATGCAAAAGACTCTCTTGCTACATAGACTTAGAATTTGAACACTGTGGTGTAGTGAGTAATTTCGCATTAATCCGTTTATTGAGTATATCAGACAGTATGAAACAGTATTATTTACTGGATGACGCTCCGAACACAATTTACTGTTGCTCATAATCATATCATCAATTGTAACTACACAACTTTTCTGTATACTAACTTACTCTTTTGTTACTTAAAGCAGGAAGGATGAGCATTGGTCAACGCGAAAGTACAAAAAAGTAGCAATACAACAAGGTAATATTATGGTGATCCCTACAATCAGCCTGACGACAAGTCAGGTTTATATACCTGTAGCTATGCGACTAGTATAATCAATGATTTTAGCTATGTAAGCACTTCATATCAAAAACCGTTGAGCTTTCTCAATGGCACCAATTTTCAAAACTGCCTAGTATTTGCTACTTATAAGAATACATAAGTAGTAGGTAAACGTTGGTCTTTCTCTACCAGGTAAGTTTTATTATCACCACCTTCTCCCACAAAAATAAAAGGGCGAATGAGGATGTCTGGCGCTTACAACCGGACTAACTGGTGAACATGCAGGCCTACCCCTATCTCGGAGAGCCGGTAAACCTTGATTCCAAACCTATGTGGTATACATGAGCTACAGAATCCCAAAAGGACCAAATGACTTATGAACCTGTTTCGGTCACCGCCAACCATCGAAACGCAGCTCCTCAAACTGCTCCAATGTCTTGTGGACCAGACTTCAAGTTAAAGACTCAGGGGAGAGGGGGTGACCTCTTAAGACAACCACTAGCTTCAGTGTGGGCGTCCGGGCAGTATCCCAGCCCTTGTGAGATTTTGTCTGACACATCTATTGGTGGCCGTAACGGTACCAAGGGTGTTTTTAATAATAAATATAAATAGTACATCATGCAAGAAAGCTAAAAAAAGTCAGAACAGTTGAGATTCAACTAGTAGACGTTCTAAAGAAAGAAACAAAAAGGTCACGAAGATATTTCTTTATCTGACTACCAAAGTTACATAGAACAAACTTTTCATGCATCGAACTATGAGTTATATTTATTGGGTTAGGACTGATGATAACCAATCAGTTTCTCTGACTAAGATAGACGGAATGAAACTAGAACCATGGGACATATCGATCGAAAATCATGAGGAAATACAGAAAGAAAACGGAGAAGCTTCTGAGTGAAGCAAACTACAGATATAATTAACATACACTGTGCTAAATATAAGATTGTAGCAGATTGTCAACACTGGTTATTTTCTGACAGATTCCGGAACATAGGCATAATCACCGGCGTCAAACACTTGGCATATTTCCCAACCTGAAGACAGAATTCGACTCTGTCGACTGAGAGGTGTTTATTCTCAAAGGGTGTCCCGAGAAAGTATATCGTACCAATCAAGGCACTCTACTTGAACTCACGCAGCAGTGAAAGAGCTTATGGAGAGTTGTCATTTGAAGTGGGGACAACCAGTGGTGTTTGATAGATGTCCACAGTCCCCATCTTTGTTCAGTATCATCATGGATGTACTAATAAAATTGACGCCGCCAACTAAATTTAGCGACTTAGGGAGTGGACTTTTTACCATAAAACAGTCTTCCTAACTTAGAGTAAGCGGACGGTATTATCCTCCCAGGCGAAGATGCTGATGCAATGCAGAGCTTTCTGAACACCTCAAGAAGACATCTTCCTTCTTTTATCTACCTTTGTTTGCTTTGTGGGTGCGGTAGGTTGAACTGGTATATATATATATATATATATATATATATATATATATATATATATATGACCAATGATTTTTAACTACAGTTCACTTGGAGGGTAGTATATTTGCTAGCAACCGAACCACATATGGTGTATTTTTGTTTCAAAACCTGAAGGTTCTCGACCGAAAACAGGAAGCAAGTATTTCCTGGTGCTAATTGACTCCCTAGATGATGTCAGTTAGTAATATGAGCAGTAAAGCTTCGTTTGCCTTTGGAAGTGTGTGGGCGGTTGTCACTTCCCGGTTGCCAACACCGTGGAAGTTGCTTGGTTCTTCGGGTACCTGAAACAGAAAGAGGGTTAGTGTTGCGTGACCGCAGAGCCCAGGGGACAACTGCTTGAGGCCGGTCACACGTGGCCTGTATGAACTGGCGTTTTGGTTTGGTTCCGTGTTAGCAACTTATCGCCGGCTACGGACCAAAGTAGGGTAAGTCGGGATGTACAATTTGTGGGGTCGACCTTTTCTAACGCCCCCCTCTCCAGAGTGGAGATACAACATAGTTGGCATGCTGGTCATCTGAGGGAAACGCCTTACTGCTGTTAAATTTCCGTTCCCCAGCAGTACGAATTTGCCCACAGAACCCCGGCATAGAGTAAAAAACGTCTTACACTATGCTGGTAACTGCTTTTAGTCTAACAGAGCTATCCAAACAATCTTCCTGACATGGTAAGACCTGCAGGAACATTAGTTCCAGTCAGATCAAGAAGCCATAACTTACAGACTAATACTGACAAACTGCATCTCATAAAGTACATTTAAACTCAAATTTAAATTATATATATATATATAAAGTCGATCGAGAGGTGATTTGGAAACTACTTCGCTACTACAGGGTGCCACCGACAATTATACATCTCATCCAACAGCTGTACGACGATGCTGCATGCCAAGTAATCCACAATCGGAAACTTACGGAATCCTTCGAAGTGAGGACAGGAGTAAGACAAGACTGCCTACTATCGCCAATGATTTTCCTGATTGCAGTAGACTGGATAATGCGACAAACAGCGGGTAATGAGGAAACAGGAATAAAATGGACACACACAAAAAACTTGGAGGATCTGGGCTTCGCCGATGATATATGTCTGATTTCCCACAAACTGGAAGATATGCAAGTGAAAAGCAACAAGTTGGCAGAAGAAGCATCAAAGATAGGACTTCAGGTGAACATAGAGATGACAGAGGTGATGAAGATTCCAGGGCAACACCACCAACAGCAACAACAACTGACAACAATCAGCATAAATGGGAGGAACCTGAAAGAAACAACCTCTTTTACCTACCTGGGAAGCATTGTTTCAACTACAGACGGAACTGACGAGGATATAAAAGCAACGAGGATCGGGAAATCCTGAAAACCTTTCATTACTGTCAAGTCTGTGTGGAGGTCAACAGCACTCAGCATCAAAATTAAGATCCAGATCTTCATCTCCAATGTGAAGTCAGTGCTACTCACTATACGGATCAGAGACTTGCACTGCGCATCATAAAGAGCATCTCAAACAAACTACAAACCTTCATCAACAGTTGTCTTCGCTCAATACCAATCGAGATCAGATGGCCAGAAAAGATCAGCAACAGGGATCTCTGGGAAAGAACCAACCAGGAACTGATTGTGAAACAAATAGGCAGGAACAAATGGAGGTGGATTGGCCTTACTCTTAGGAAACCATCAAGTGACATCACTAGACAAGCCATTGCTCGAGTGGAACCCGAAAGGGAAGCGGCGAGTTGGTCGTCAGTGCAAGGGTGACTTGGAGGAGGTCATGTGAAGAGTAGATGAAAACGTGTGGGCAGACATGGAGCCAGGTGAAAACTCTAGCAGAGAGCCGAACGCAATGGAGAAGCACGGCTGAAGCCCTATGTTCCTGTAGGAATTAAAGGATACAATAATAATAATAATATAAATTCTTAGGCATTACCATATGTGGAAGTAAATCCATTGCAGCTTCACATAGAGGTCGCATTAACCGTTCAGAATAAAAGACAAATGCATCTTGATCTGTATTTCGATCACGTATTAATGTATGCAAGCCAAGTCGTTGAGGTGTAGTCGGCAGGACGTGTAATTGTGGTGGAAGACATATTTTATCAGATAGACTACTATTATTAAGGTATTGTCTACTACTGTTACGAAGACGACGACAATCGTGTATACCATTATCATTATCAACATCACCATCTTTTGTATCCTTGGAATGACCTTCCCAATGTGTACCACCATTGGAATCCGCTGATGACACTATACCATTCATTTGTCCAGGCGGAAATTTGGCTAATTCATGTCGAGAGCATAGTCCACACTGTACAAAAACAAAGAAAAGAAAATTATAGTAATAACAATAACTATCAAAAATAAATAAAAAAATAGAAGCCCATTTGTAGTAACAAGTAAAATGTATTCATCATGAAACTGGAGAAAACGATTAAACTCCCTCTTGAACTATCGATTATTTACGAGCTAATTTATGCCATCTCTGGCGTAGGCGTGACATCCGGCTATCAACCAAGGGACGTGTGTACTGCTCAGCAGTTCGCTCAGTCCTTCTCTATGGCTCTGAAACATGGCCAATACGAGTTGAAGACATGAAAAGGTTCACTGTTTTTGATCATAGATGTCTATGATCTCTTTCTCACGTTAGGTGGTATAATAAGGTAAGTAATGTTGACGTTAGGCGTAGAGTGTTGGACAAAGAGGAAAAATCAATCGAAGAGGCTATAAAGTTACATAGATTGAGGTGGCTAGGTCATGTGCTGCGCATGCCTAACCATCGCCTCCCCCGACGGGCATTACTAGCTGATATAGGTGCAGGTTGGTTGGAAAAGAGTAAGTGGCGGCTAAACAAAAACATGGCCTCATCAATCCATGAAACCCCTGACAGTTAAACTGAGTCAGGTAGGGAGATGCAGACTTCCGAGTTGGGGCCCGCCCTCGGGACTCTAAGAATCAATGGCTGGAGACAATAGGTGACATGGCTCAAAATCGTTGTCAATGGCTTACGCAGATGTATTCAGTCTCTGTAATCTTTCATATTCCTTTCTACCATTACTCACTTTGTTTCACTCTTATACTTGTCAAAACTCTATTGATTCTCTTCACTCATCTTCTTGTCTACCTTGTGTGCTATTTAGAAGGTGGCAACTCGAACTACTGCACTTCGGTGCCAATTTCTATGTTGAATCCAGACAGAGAGACAGACAAACAAATGATGTAGAAGAGACCGTCAGGCGGCATAATAGGGTGAGTAATATTGAGGTTAGTCTTCGGTCGACTAATAGGTAGGGAGAAAAAATCAATCGACGAGGTTGTGAAGTTACATCGATTGAGTAAAGTTAATAAATTAGTGTCCAGATCCATACAAAGGAGACAGAAAAGAAACCCTACAGCGGTAAACATCAAGACTGCCATCACATGGTTATCGCTATCAAACGTTCAATAGTTTTACGTTAGCATTTTAGCGTGATACTAAAAAGCACAAGACATGAGTTGAGATATTATATATATTATTTACACAGTATGTTAAAAGACAGACAATTATTATCTACAGTAAGCAACTCTATAGGGATCAGTCAGTTAATGAGACGGGCTAATCACTGGAGAGTTTCGAATATCATGTTGTTTAGTCCTAATATTATATTATATCATTATTGTTCCCTTGGGCTCCGAGTGGAACATAGGGCTTCAACAAAACATCTCCACTTTGCTCTATTTTCTGCTATCCTCTTAAGCTGGGCCCACGATTACCCATAATGTCATCTCCTCCTGGCACGATCTCCTCCATGTCACTCTCGGACGACTCACTCGTCGTTCGCCACTCGGATTCCACTCGAGTGATGGCCTGGTGCTCGATGTCATTCGACGGAATCCTCAACGTGTGCCCGATCCATCCATCTCCATTTTCCCCTACATATTTGTTGAGCAATCAGCTCTTGGTTGGTTTCTTCGCATAGTTTCTTGTTGTTAATTCTTTCTAGCCATTTGATTTGCAATATAGAGCGAAGGGTAGCTGTTGATAAGTTTGCTGCCTGTTGGAAATGCCTTTCGTGATCCACACAGCGGAATCGACTTGACATTGGAGCTGAAAAATCCGAATCTTTTTTTTATGCTGCGGAGTGGCAGAACATTGCCATACCGATTTCAGATTGATAAAGGCGTATTTTGCCTTTCCTAAGCACAATACAAATTCTGTTGACTAAATCCGCATTATAATTAGCGGTATAACTTGAGTGATAAGAAGCAGGCAACCCTGTCGATAGCTTTTAATCACTCTATGCAATTAACTTTAGATTTCTAAACTGTAAACCAAAGCCCAAAAGGACTAATTAATTAATAATAATAATTTGTTAAAGTTGGTTTGTAAGGATTAGTTTTGTTTTAACGAGTTGATCATGGAGTGATATCAGTTAGAGAACCATTGAAGACCAGCACTGGAGTACTGGACAGCTAGCTGTTTCATCCTAGTTTGGGAATCATCGGCAGTCCGCACCCACAGGGTTTCAAACGCTAGACCTTCTTGTTACAAGGCAAGCTGGCTTATATACCATTCAGACACTGTGACCCAATTCAACGGCTAGAGCATGAATTCTAACTTGTACCAATTCGTGATTTAGCGCGACCCCAACCAATGTCGTCAGTGGGACATGCTCGCTAGTGAATTGCTACAGGACGGAGTTTCTTGGAGTTCAGGTCAGAAGTCGTGACCAGTGAGGTTCATCCAAATGTCAAGTGTGAGGATGGATGTCCCACTGACAACATTGGTTGGGGTCGCGCTAAATCACGAATTGGTAGGAGTTAGAACTCATGGACTGGCCACTGAATCGGGACCCACTGGCTGAATGGTCTACGAGCTAGCTCACCTTGTAACCGGAAGCTGCTGGATTGGAACCCTGGCGGTGGGTGCGTACTGCCGATGATTCCCAAACTAAGATGAAACAGCTGTCCAGTACTCCAGTGCTGGTTTTAATGGTTCTCTAAGTCATATCAATCCATGATCAACTCGTAAAAATAATAATATGCTTTATTCCAAAACAGTACTAATGTTACAGTGTGGAATTTTCAGCCTTTAGTAAATTATTGCATCTAATTTTATCGAATAATATTAAAAACGATTATAAGGATAATATTACAGGATTATTAATGACAGTTCTCGTTTGGTATTAGTAGTGACAGTGAAGTCATATATATATATATATATAATTATAAATAATAATAAGGTTAATTGAGGTAGTGTCACCATAGATTACAAATAAGAGATAATAAAAGGGCCAATTATTTAGCTAACAACACAGTAATTCATAAGTTGCACGTTTTACCTTGTCTTTATCACACAGAAACAAGGCTGGCCAAATATGGTATCGCTGAGTTCCCATACTTTGCAATACGAGCATATAATCTTTTTTACTGATTTCTAGTTCTACCAGATGAGATGCAAGGCGAGACTTGGGAATAAAGGAGGGAGGGGGTGTTGAGGGTCAGACAATATGGATGTAAACCACTTCTCGCATGAGTTTAGATGTTCATCAACTAATGTAGTGACCAGTTGACTAAGTTGCACACCATTTGCGCTACTGATAACCTTTAATACCCTTCTCAAAATGACATAATCCTTTTTCAGTAGACCAGGAAAGATTAAGGGGGAGCAGTAAAGTACAATAGGTAAGAAACACGAGTTAACAAATTGTAAAAGTAGGGGTTAAGCGATTCCAGATTGTGTGTATTAACCAGCCGTTGTAGATTAAGTTTATGTCTTAAGGAGAAGTCAGCAGTCTGGAATTTTGAGGGATTTAACGTAAGACCATTTAGCTTAGACCACTGACTGATGTCCGACAAAAAGCTATTAAGTTTGCAAAGGTCTCACTGGGAACTGACAGGAAACGAGATGGCCATCAGATCATCAGCGTATTTGACGAAGTTGATTTCATTAAGAAGAGATAAATCATATAAGAAGAAAAAAAGAAGGGAAACAGAACAGCACCCTGAGGAACACCAGCTTCAGTAAGCAAGGCAGAAGAATAAAAGGATATACGCTGAGCACTCACGACACTAATAATAATATCCTTAGGACATGCTGGTTATTGAAACAAAATACAAATATTAGATATAGGGATAGAATTTGGGCTCTGTTGTAGGGTATAATTCCATGATAAAGCAAATTTATTTGATAAAATCACACAGTGTTAAACAGTATTATTTACTCATGACGTTTCGAGCACAATTAATTGCTGCTCATAATCGTATCAAGTCAATCACATATCTTTCCAAATTCATTTATATAACTCCATTATTTTCTTGTCCATTGGTTTTATTGATAGTAATATTTTCTATATCTCTGGCTATTAGCGTTGAGTCATTCCTATTACACGTGTTAAGTGTAGATTCGATGAACAAAGATTTAGTAATTTAACAATTAATAACCGATAAAACTCGTCAAGAAGAACAAAAAAGTGGACAAGAAAATTGTAGTGGGAAATACTGACCATTACATAATTGAGAAAGAATTTTTAAGGAAGAGACATCTAAAACTTTACGTAGGATTCTTAACAAAGCAGGAATTAGGGTGGCATTTAAACCTACAAACTCATTCAGAGGCGTGCTCTGTAGACTGAAGGATCCTATTAGCCCAACTAGACACAATTATGTTATCTAAAAAATGCCTCACAATAACTGCAAGGTCAACTACATAGGTTCGATCTGTAGATTGTGGGTAGTTAGATTATCGGAACTTACGAATTTAGCTAAGAATAGAACAATTGACCCCATGAAGATGAATACTTTAGGGAGAAACTCCGCAATCTCAGAGCATGCACTAAAGCACAATCAGACAATAGGGTGGAACAGAACTGAAACAATAACAAGTAATACAGGTAGGTGGAGATAGAGAGGTTGATCACTGAATCTATGTCTATCGAATCTACACCGAACACGTGAAGTAGGAAGCATGCAACACTAATACCAGAGATACGGATAACATTTATGGTTTAATATTAATAAGTTTTGCTCAAAACGTCATCAGTAAATAATGCTGTATCATTGTGTGTGCTTTTATCAAACAAATTTATTCTACGATGGTACAAATATTAGATGTAACAAAGAATATTACCTGTTTTAAACGTTTATTGATGTGTTGAACAATCAGTTGTAGAGCGACAATATTCTGGCCACCTGAAAAAAAATTATAAGAAGAATGAGTCACAAAATAGTGATTATGGCACCAAATGAAACAAATCAAAGTTACTCTTTCTCTCTACTTGTAGCTAAATCTATCAAAATACACCATCAGAATCATTTAAAGACTAAATTACAACCTCAAGTGGTTAAAAATTTCTCGACTACATGGAAACTTTCTGTTATGTTTCGCAATAAGTCGAAACTGAAATAAGGCCGCCACGTTGGCCGATGACTATCGCTTGACTACGCCGAAAACATTATACGACATCTACCTGTTTCCCCAGCCTTAGATGCATAGTATATTTCATGCAATAATGTATAATTCAAAATATCACCCCGGATACGTCAATCAGTCTGTAATCATGATCAATAAAATATTAGCGTTATTTTATGTTGGCCAATCCTGAATGGTTTATTTCTAGACTGGATATTGATCACTTACGTGGGCCAAATTCTGATTGGTTTATTTCCAGACTGGACATCAACCATCATATCACTTCCTAAGTAGGGAACTGAGATTTTCATTCAACTAAGGTGGAATACTTTTACAAATCACAGACGAGTAGTGTCGATATTACTGAAAACATCAATGAAATGTTTCGAAGTCGATTTGATTTCCTAAACACCAGTTAAAATATCAATTGAGTGGCCTTCTTGAACTTCATTCACGAATTACGCCATTTTGTTTTAATCAACCACGTTCCACTAAATTGTAATATTTTCACTAGCGCAGTTTTCAAACATTTCAATTCATCGTTTTTTATGTATCCTATAAATTTGAGAGCAAATATCTTAGTGGATGGCAAAAAGCAACACAAATCAAATAACTGTTCATGAATTTTTCATTATCATTATTATTCCCCCTGGTTCTCAAAGGAGCATAGGGCTTTAGAAGCACATCTCCATCTCAACGTGTTCTCTTCAGTCTTTTTTAACTGGCTCTATGACTGAACGTAAGTTCTCATCTCCACCTCACATAATTCCCTCCATGTAACCCTCGGAGCCATGCTCAACTCATCGTTTCTCATTCGGGTTACACTCTAGGACCAGGCTTGTGATGTCACTCAACGGTTTCCTCAGATTGTGTCCTATTTATCTCCATTTCACTATGCACATATGTTGGGCAATAGGTTCAGAGATCCTTGTTGCTAATCATTTCTGACCATTTGATCTTCGGTATGGAGCCAGAGAAAGCAGCGGTTGTTGAAAGTCTAAGGCTTGAATTAATTAATCAGCATAAACTTCAAAATTCGTGGTTATTTCTTTTGATTTTATTTGTAAAAAGGGTACATTTGTTGCGATAAGAAAATGTTGAAAATCTCACTCGAATATTATTATTTACGTTATTACTTTTGTAACATATTATTGATCATTACCACAAAACAGAGACAGATACAAACAATATGGAGTTTCTATATAAATCTGCCGCTGTCAATAGTACTAGCATTTAGTAAAACAAAATCAAAATACAAATTAACAAGAAATAAATTCAAAGGCGTCAATAACATCTATTCACGACCTATACGGATATGAAGAGAAACGATACCAGTAAATGTTTTAATCAATTGTGAATAATGAATGACCCTGGAAGTCTTGGGATAACACTTGCTCACTGTCTCTGAAGATCTATTCAGATCTCAGCCTTATTTTATCCTGCTTTCATTTCATTTACATCACAGTGAAATACGTTGTAGGTTAACATACAGCATTAGTGCTGGATGTCCGCAAAGCCCAAAAGATAACTGCTCCAGGCCGATGACACATACCGCCTGTTTGGAGGGATTTCTGGAGTTCGGTCTGTAGGAAGATTTTATCGTCAGCTGTGGACTACTATAGGGTAAAAGTCAGGATGTACACTTTTCGTGGCTGACATTTTCTAATCTTTTCTCCCTACAGTGGTTAGGCAGACATATTTGGCTTGCTACTGGTCGTCGGATGGAAACACCACCAGTAGCTGGCCTACACCGACAAACCCAACGTAGTGTACAAGACTTTCCACTATGATGATAGCCTCCAAAGCCTAAGGATGGTCGGGGGTGGGTGCCTTGCGCTGTGGGTTGGCCACCCCTCCGCACACCTCTTGAAATGCTCCCATATGACCGGGCGTTTTACATAGCCTCTCCTGAGGAAGTCCTACTCACTGCCTTCACGTGGCCGAGGTGTTTTTCACCAAAGTGAGAGGGTGAAAGCGGATGCCCGGCGCTCTTCACCGGGTTGACTGTCCATTGGATGACAGTCTAGGGGAGATGGTTAAACCCTGATTCCAAACCTCCAACGACTGGCGTATGAAGCTCACTGGAGCTCACCGGCAGACGTATGGACAAAGGGCTTGTTGGATGTCCTGGATGTCTGGCCCCATTCAAAAAGGCGTATGAACCGAACTCCGGTCACCGGCTGCCAATGGATAGTGGACTCCCTACTCCACTCCTACTGCCTTGTAGGTCACACTTGGTTGTGTAAAGGCTAGAGCTGCACTCTCAAACAAAAGGCCAAGCGATTCTGGGGACATCACTCGTACCAAATTCCCATGAAACTTCACGAACTCTCTTACAAACGACTCTCATTCGAGATGTTCATGAAGCCGGCTCATCCTTCCGTAGGAGATAGCCGAAGTAAAGAAAGAAGACTATGATGATGGTAGCTGCTTTTAGTGTAGTTCTTTGAGTTATTGTGATATGCAAGGCCGACCACACACCATCAAGGTAGCTCTGCTAGTTAGTGGTTAACACTCACTTTTACAGAACTAAACCTACGTTATGAAAAATCATAGAGATGAAAAGGGAAGAGAAAAAAAGGATAAAAAAATACTACCTCTTGGTATAATAATATCTGCTTGAGCCATGCTTGGAGCAATAAATTGTTCATAAGATGGTTTAACAAAACGTGAATATTGTACAAGGACATCATTCAACTCCCGTCCACGTTCAGTGATATCACGACGAAGACGACGAGCTAGGCGTTCATCAGCGTCAGTATCAACAAACACCTTCAAATCCATCAACTATTTATATATAAAAGAAAAAGAAACGGAGACACAGAAGACAGTAATTAGATAAGTTCTAGATTTTTAAAAATCTATATTAGGTTGAGTGAAAACCACAGTGAAAAGAGATTGATTAAACAAAATTTTTGAATGCCAGTTAAGCTAAGGGGTGGAAAATATTTGAATACTAGTCTTGGTAAGTGTGTGTGTGTGTGTGTGCAAGATAGATGATTGTGTCAAAGATGTAATGAGGCTAATATAGTATTTAGTATTTACCAGCCAAAGTATGATTCGACAATGCATTAAATATAAACTACCACTTATGTCCACCGCTATGTGCATATACTCATTCATATGTTCGTGTGGAGCTGATTGCATTGGACGTTGTAAACGTAATCTCCATAAACGCGTAGCTGAACACTAGCCTGTTTGGTTAATGAAAAGTGAGCACAGGACGACGAAGTCTACAATTTGTGAACACATTCTGAAGTCAGGTGATTCAACCCCACATGATTTATCCTTCAAAGTTATTTACAGGACCAGATCCAATCACTCCTAAAGATTACGTTTTCTCCACTTACGTTTTGTTACACTCCTTTCTTTGTCTTGGTCATAGTTATGTTCTTTTATTTTACCACTTGAATTCATTCCACTTCACTTCATCCTCGCCGTCTTTATTGTCGTCATCATCGTACTGTTAATTTTTTAGACAACACTTGACACTTTATTTCTTCACGTTCCCAGTGGAACATAGGGCTTCAAGGTGGTGGCATGAAGTTTCTGTAGCAGTGTTTATTTTTACAGGATGGGGTTGGTAGCCTCATGCCCAACCTTTCCTCTTCACCAGCTTTTAGTTCTGGCTTAGCGAGGTAAAGGGGTGCGCCGGCCGGGGATCGAACCCCGGACCATGTGCATGGTCGGCGAGCGTCCTAACCGCTATGCCACCGACGCACCAACACTTGACATACAATCTTAAAATCTGCATACTAGTTCACTTATTGAATAATCTTTAAAAGTTTTGTAATTCATACACTTCAACTCTACCCCCCTTAATACATCATTTTAATTATTGATTTTTCTGTCGATTGATTGGACTGAATCGCGCGGTCTCAGGTTGACATGTCGGCTCCGTGTGCAGATACTTCGACGATGTCTGGTCATATAACTTGAGGTCAATCGGTGGATGGTAACTAGCAGTAGAATCCATCGAAGATGCACATTTCGTCCTATTAGCGATTCGTCAAGTGGATTTACCTGAATTTTCCAGTGAATGATGGTGTTCCCACCGAGGCTCGAACCCAGTCAGTGCCCATAGTCTCAAACGCCAAAGCGTTATCCACTAGACCACTTGGGCCTCGACCTCATCGAGTGACTTACCCTGCTGACATAACACTCTATGTATAACCATATTATTATTATTCACCATATTATATCACTTAATGCTGAGGATAGAATGCAAACATCTGTGATCAAAGACAGTCATCAATTACTTATCTTCCAACTTCCGTGAACATGTCTCACAACCATAAAGGAGGACAAAGTGAACTGATGAACAATATATACGGGTACATCGATCAATAGCCAAATATTACATCTAAGCCAGAAATGACGTAATTTGTCAAATTCTACACAAGTCATAACAACTGTGGAAGAATCAATCGGTGTGAACAGAAGTAGACAATAGCACATCGTTACAAATAACTGAGCGACAGAATTCGACATTTGTATGCTAAGTTACGTAGGAGAGAGAGTTAGATAGTAATGAACACACACACTCGACTTCCTTGTTTTGACTAGAAATAGTTGTACACCACATTTAAGCCTACAATGTGATACAACAGCTAACAGTCACCTATCCTGAAATATGAACAGAATTATATAAGAACAAAATCAAAATCAAAAACTTCACATCTTTCGTAATTTAAGAAATCCACCCTGAAAGTATACAGTCATACAGTACTTATATATATATATATATATATATATATATATATATATACTGAGTTCTTAAACTTCAGGACTCCTGGTTTTACAGTAAGTATACTGGGAGAAAATGAATATTGTTCACATAAAACGGCATCCGATATATAATTGTGATATAAGTATAAAACTTGGGCACTGTGGTAGAGTATAACTCCATTATGGATAAGATTTTATTTTGATAAATCACACAGTGTTGTGATACACTAATATTAACTGATGACCACGTTTCGAACACAAACTATTGCCGCTCATAATCATATCAAGTTACTCACACAACTTTTTCCTTCATTTATGTACATGAGTGCAATTGACTAGATATTTGAATAAAAATCAATATGAGATAAGGAGGGGACATCTCAAGCTCTACGTAGGATTCTTAATAAAGCAGGAATTAGGGTGGCATTCAAAACTACAAACTCATTCAGAGACAAGCTACGTAGGCTAGAAGACGCGGTGGACCCAATTAAACAAAATAATATAATTTACAAAATACCTTGCAATGACTGTGAGGCCAACTATATAGGTCAAACTAGTAGATCGGGGATAATCAGATTGTCGGAATATAAGAATTTAGCTAAGGTAAGGATGGTTGACCCCGAGAAGATGAATAATTTAGAAGAAAGCTCAGCAATAGCACTGCATGCATTAATACAAAACCACACGATAAGGTTGGAGAGAGTCAAAATTCTAAAAAGTAATCTAGGTAGGTGGAGAGAGAGAGGTTGATTACTGAATCCTGGTTCATTGAGTCTACACCCAACACATGCAACAGAAATTACTCAATGCAAATACGCGAAATATGGAAGATATTACTACCGCTAGTCAAATCAGAAGATGATAACAAATAATCTCAAAATTCTATTTCAATTCAAGCATATCACAACATTCTAACAAGTTACTTATTATGACTATAAAAAACACTCGTCTTATTTCCTATCTGATTGTATTTGATTGATAACACTAATATTATTTCTGAATGTACATTATCCTATATTGATTTTTATTCAAATATCTAGTCAATTCCACTCATGTATATAAATGAAGGAAAAAGTTGTGTGAGTAACTTGATATGATTATGAGCGGCAATAGTTTGTGCTCGAAACGTAGTCATCAGTTAATATTACTGTATAACACTGTGATTTATCAAAAAATATCTTAACCCTAATGGAGTTATAATTGTGATAGTTTACAATTGCTTAGTATAATTTCCTCAATAAACTATTTTTCCATATATATATATATATATATATATATATATATATATATATATATATATGTCCATGACCCACACACATACACTGGTGTTGTTTCTCTTAATATTAAAAATACAACCTCACAGTTATGCGAGAACAGCGAGACTGCAGTATATTCCCATGTTAAAGAGATCCTACTACAATCCGTTTCGGGTTTTTTTTTCTATTACCTTAGGTTCCCAGTGGAACAGACGGCTTTAAGCCTTGAGCTTTGAATTATCAGTAGCGGTGAAGTTGTTGCTTTTACGGGATGAGGTCGCTATGCTCTCTCTCTCTCTCTTTGTCAAGCTTACTATCACCTACGCCAGATTAAAGAGTTTATCGGCTGGGAATCGAACCCGGACCACGTCTGTAGTTAGCGAACATTGCTACCGCCGAACCATCGACATTCAATGCCAAATAAACATGCAATAAAAATCCCCTTCTCTTTAACTCAATGACTACCCTATCTCTGCTTAGCAAAGTTAACCTTTAAGCATCACTAACTACCAATCAGCGAATGACCTCGAACGCACCAATCACGTGAAGGAGGCATTTTTGTGTATGGAATACATGCATTTATGAAATAATGCGTAAAATCTGTGGAAAAGTGTTACAGAGGATAACTTTCTCTCACATGTGATAAAAATAGCTCTCAGTTTTAGGTTGGAGTATCAACAGAATTTAATTCCATTGTGGGTAAAATTTATTTCGATAAAGTTTCATAGTGTAATACAGTAATATTTTCTGAGCAATAAATTGTGCTCGAAACGTCATCAGTAAATATTACTGTATAACACTGTGAAACTTTATCAAAATAAATGTTACCCACAATGGAATTATACTCTACCATAGTGCACAAGTACTATTCTTATATCGACACAGCAATTTAACCACATTGTATGCATGCAATCATTTAGGTCTTCTAAACCCTAATCTTTCCTGAACCTAACCCTAACGTGAAAATATCCCTAAACTAACTGTAGTCTTACTCGAACCAACCCTAATGTTGCCCTTATTAGGTTAACCTAACCCTAACTTGTCCATGGCCTAAAACCGTAAATTAGCCTTTCCCAGTCCTAAGCTGAAATTTGCCAGATACCCCATTCAATGGCATAGCACTTCGATGAGTATATTTTATTGATGATGACAATATTATTTGCCAGGTTTCACTGAATTGCCGGTTTCAAGGTCGTTGGTGCGGTCGCAATCCATCGGTAGTTAATGGTGCTTAAAGTTGAACTTGACCCTCTGCTTTATGAACAATAAGGATATACATATATATATATATATATATATATATATATATATATATATAACATCCGCTTCATATGCGTTACTTAGTCCTAGTTCAAAGATCAAAGATCATATCTATTGTTTTAAAAGAAAACATGCAATAGCTTACTCAGAAGCATTTTTAAAGATTTCATATGAACAATCCACTTTCCATAACATACATCAAAAGTTAACTACTATAATTACTATTTTATGATTCCTTTGTGTTCCGGATGGAACACAGAGCTTCAACAGAACGATAAGTTAACTAGAACACATTATTATTATTTATTTCCAGGTTAATTTTGCACTTCCCACTAGTTGATTACATTCTCCCGAAATGTTCATTATCTGTTGACATGTAAGATGCCAGTATAAACGCTTCAACTATGTATGTGTCTAAGGATTACTGTGATGAATTTATTATGGTTAGTGGTAACCCTTGTAGCTTATTGGATAATACTTTGGCATTTGAAATGATGGGTATAGGATTCGAATTTCAATGGGAACACCATCAATAGGAATGCAGGTACACATCCAGATGACGAGTCCCAAAGTGGGACGAAGTGTACATCCTGAATTTCATTGCTAGTCAACACCGACAAAAATAGAACGCACTATGCTGTTGAAGATACAGAGGTTGTCCGAACAGAAATTCAAATATATATGTTCAGTAGTGCAGAAATTAATACTAATTATATAACAGTAGATGAAAGCATTCAGTAACACAACAATAATAGGGAAAGTATAAAGTCTATTAAAGAACTAACTGCAAATTCAAACATACCTTAGTCACTCCTTGTGAATAGAACGCCAATATTCCCTCAATAATGATTATATTAGCCCCATAAACTGTATTCTGTTTAAAAAATACAAAAAATAATTGATTAAATAGTAAGGCAAGGTTGACACCACTAATCCAGACAAAAACAAACGCGCTTAGCCTAAATTACTGGAAAAAAAATCATCAAATACTACTCTATTTGTATCCTTTATACATTTCTAACTTCTTTCGGTTATCTAGGTAGCATCGTTTCAACTACAGGCGGCACAGATGAAGATGTTAAAGACAAGGTTGGAAAGCTGAAACAGACCTTCATTAATCTGGGAATCAGCCTGGTACTAAATATACCGAACAATATTCAAATTCTCAACATCAGTGTCAATTCACTCAATGTTTCTATATGGTTTACAAACTTGGCGTGGGTGTCACGAAAAGCATTCCCAACAGCTTGGTGCAAACTCTTTTTCAACCGCTGCCTTCGCTGGCTCCAACGAAGATCAGATACCCAGAAAGGATAATCAACTCAGAACTCTGACGGGCAACGAACCCACTAAAAACCTATCACCCAACAAATATGCCTAATCACATAGGGATGAATTGAATTAGACGCACTCTGAGGACACGCCTAGTCCTTGAGCGGAACCCAAATGGGAAATGTCAAGTTGAACATAGCTCCACGAGGCAACACGGAGGGGAATTGTGTAAGGCGTAGATGACACAGTCTACAGTCAGTCGTAGAGGCAGTTAAAAATGACTGAAGTCACACATATGTTCCATTTGGAACCCAAGAGAATAATAATGATGATGCATTTTTAACAACAAAAAAACGCAACTTTCGATCTAATGATTCCTAACATATATTATCAATAATTACTAAACTAACTGTCCATATGGTAAACTCGGACGACATCGGGTTGTCCTACTGACGGATGTGTGCAGATGAAGCTGCAATGGGATGAAACATCATAACAGTTATGCTGCATGAAACTGAGATTACAGAATAAGAAACTCTGAATAAAACAATCTGCATTGATTGGTTACTGGATTTCATCATGAGCTGACATAGGTTAGAGAACTATTGGACAACCGACTGGGAGCACTGCCAGACAGCTGTTTCGTCAGCCTGGTTTGGGACTGTTCAGCAGAACGCTACCACCTCCAGTGTTCAAACCCAGGACCTTCTGGTTACAAGGCAAGCTAGCTCGTAGACCATTAAGCCGCTGGGACTCGATCCAATGGCCAAACCATGATTTCCAACTTCTGTTAATTCACGATATAGCGCGACCAATAGCCAATGTCTTCGGCGAGTATTTGTACTCACGCTCGACCTGCTGTACCCCCTACTGGTCACGACTTCCCACTAGAACCTCGGGTAACTACATACCTGAACACGGCCAGTTGTTAGTGAGCATCTCATTGATATTCAAGTATTGATTTGTAGGGATTCGATTGAAATACTGTGACCAATCAATAAAATCCTTACAAACCAATACTTGAATCTGCACTGAGTTATTGCAACGAAAGCTGTGTGCTGTCGCACATTTCGCTAAAATTCTTGTAAAAATCAATAATAATAACAATAAAGAGGAAAAATAAATTGGCTCTAGCACCACCGAGATTGCACCAGTAGGATGATGGTAGCACTAAAGGTTCGGATAATTGACCTGAACATAAACGTGTATGCGCACATGTCAACAGTGCCAGTATTAGTACTAGCTATCTATCTATTTGTCTAACAATATAAAATCGACTCTTAATTTTTTTTCTGGTTTTTAAATATTATAAAACAAAGAATTACAAATCAAAATTACCGTTTTTGAAGAACGTGAGTGTGTTTTAAAATCATATTCGGGCACTTCAATCGTTTTGCCTTCTCTTAATCTCCGTAGATGAGCTTCAAGTAGATCGAAATCAAATGCATTTGGATGATCAAAGTTGTATTTACATGCAGAGGCTTGAAGCTTTTGTTCTGCATTGAGAACCTGAAATAAAATTTGTTTGTTTTGTACATAATAAATGTATGTAGTATTGCGTAAGAAAAAAAAATCCCTTTTACAGATAAAACAGTGCGTTGGTGGCACAGTGGTAGAATGCTCGCCAACCACGCCTCATTTGGTTCGGGGTTCGATCCCTGGCCACCGACGCACTCCTTTACCTAGTTAAGCTAGTAATAAGACTGGTAAAGGGGGAAGGTTGGACATGAGGCTAGCAACCTCATCCCATAAAAGATAAATACCACTGCTACCGAAACTTCAAACCTGTAGCTTGAAGCCGTATGCTCCACTCAGAAAGCAGAGGAACAAAATAAAAATAAATAATAGTGCAGTATTGCAATGAATAGTTCTGACGGCTTTATTTCACTTAACAATGAGTATTATATTCTGGCGTGATGCAGATTGATAAGAAGCGATCGAAAACTGAAATCAACATTCGAAGTCAATGGCTGAACAGAAGTAGATGTGTTTTTATTTTGGATTTAGTTTACGTTGTGGATATGAAATAACCGCATTGGACAACTCGTATAACACTTTGCGCTAATCGCTAACCACCAATCAGAACAATTTATTCCCTTCTGACCTACCTGAATTTCAGTGTGGTTAAAAATGTATAAATATGATGTATTTTTCCTAAATATAAAAGTCCGTTACCAAGTATTTTATCTTCTCCCGTTACATGATGAACAAGAAATATATCTCCAATAACCACAAGTGGTTGAGATATGAAGCAATTAAAAACCGAAATAGATTTAAAATTTGATTCTCCAAGGTCAGTATAGAGTGAGCGGTTGAAACAAATGGTTCAAAAGTTGGATGTTACAGTTTAGAAGTCAGATAACCGGCTGGCTAGCTAGCTGCCTTTTGAATAATTTACCATGTTAGCGACACAGATCAGAGGGCACAGAGAATTTCAACACAGGAAGTGATTCTTATCGAAATTTGCAAAAAATCGTAAATTTACCACAATTGTTTCTGAAATATTAGTACTGGGGGGAAACATATCTACAATTCAATTCTCATTTTATTTAACTGATTAGTCTGAAACATATGCATGTACCAAATTCCTTGATGAAGCGTGTGTGTGTGTGTGTGTGTGAAGGGAATTTGACACATCCTTAATCTTATAAATAGAATTTAGGTTTGAGTTTTGCACGTTAAATTTGTGGATCAGCCGTAAAACGGATTCTGGTACAAGTAAGCGTTATTTTCTCACCTCACACAAACACGTTGACAGTGTCAATAGTTTGAGGCCAACATCGTATGTGATTGATTGGCTTAAACAATCTTTTCTGTCAGTCGGTAACGACAGAAGATAAGAGCCAGGCAACAGAGATATAGATTCTTATGTACATTATTATTCGTTATTGTTAGCAGAGAAGTAACGTTTTCTGATTGGTTGGTTTCTTGCTGACGGTTATTCTGTACTGCTTGTGACCGTTGCTTACAAAGTTATCTATATATCTGCGAATCGTATTTGCATACGCTAAGTCTGCTGTGATTGGTTGTTGAGTTCCTCAAGGTTAAGCTGTGTTCTTGTTTTTTCCCGATTCGGGAGGCAAACACTGACGTCAGTTGTTGCTTACAATTTTGGCTTGCAGACAGTTCTCACAACAAGTCAATGGGTTAACTAATGGATTCGGACCCCCCCTTCCTACTCTACCCTGGAAAACTGGGTAGCATGTAATCAGCTATCATATAAAAAGTATGGCTCATAGCCTGGTTCGTGATAAATTCTTCACACCTGAAGTCAGTAGGTGAATCGCGATTATAAACACGCTATCTCCTGTAAACGATTAAATAATGCGACTCAATTACCCAACAGATACAAAATATGTGGGAGGGACAATGATACCACAAACCGTAGAAACGGTGACCAAAGCTAGATTAGTTTAGAGAAAAGTTTACGGTTCTTTGGCGGATTGTTACAAGCAATGAAATACACAGGATACGTATGTTGTTCTATTTGGGACTTGTGAGTTATTTGTACTTGCAATCCCCGAAATAAGAAGAAATGCGCATTCTGGATCCCCCCTCCCCCGCTGCTAGTTATCACCTGCTGAATCACGTCACGTTAATCCTTAGATACCGTCGAAGCGTCGTAACTGGTATCCGACATGTCAACAGAGACCGAACATGTCAGTCGAATACAATCACTCAAAGGGAAATACAAAATTAACTTTCAAGAGTTAGTGTGTAAGGATTTGATTTGTTCCAAGTTTGATCACGGGTCGATATCAGTTGGAGAACCATTGAAAACCAGCAGGGAGTACTCGACAGCCGTTACGTCCTAGTTTGGGACTCATCGGCAGTACGCACCCACTGCTAGGGTTCGAAGCCAGGACCTTCCGGTTACAAGGCGAACTTGCAGACCATTCAGTCACCGGGACCCAACTCAATGGCCAGAGCATGAATTCTAACTTTCACCAGCCTTAACTTAAACAAGAATTTAAACTGTTGAAAAGAATAAATAGAGAAATAGGTTAGGTAAAAGTCCACTGGTCTGACTCATTTCCTTACGTTTAAACAGTATGATCAGCATACAAACTACACAAGTAAAGTATGAACAAAACAAACTAACCTTATAATATGAATCCATACTTAACAAACTGACCCATTGTACATCCAAACTTTCAATGATTGCACGTGCAACCGAAGTTTTACCGCTAGCACTTCCACCACATATACCAATTACAAATGGTTGTTGAGTTTGTCCTTCAACATTATACCATGGTGGACGTCCATGTGTAAATATAGTTCGATTACCGACGCGAAGAACCGGTTCTGGTAATCCCCATGTAGTTGATGATACAGAAACAAACTGAAATATGGCATATACATATATATATGTATGTAAGCAGACGTGAAGTAGGTTGGTCATTTTGTAATTAACAATTTGAATTTTCGAGGAGAATATGAAATATGCAATAAATCGTATTATTTACATTGACAATCAATAGTATGCTATAAATGTGACACCTAATTAGTAAGTTAGGTAATTATTTGTCCTATTTTCAATTCACCAGTTAAAAATGTCCGGAAACTATCAAAAATCAGTGTTAGTGTTTACAAAAAAATGGAACTAAGACACGTAAAACACTGTCAAAATTAGTAAATCAAGGTATTCATAGCATTAAGTATAACAGTTCCCAAATAATTCCTATTGACAAGCGAAATAACCAGTGAGAGGGAGAGAGAGAGAGAGAAATGTGACTTTAATTGCACACTTCAAGCAATAAATATATAAAGCTCAGACTAGACAACGATATTTATACTTGAATTTGTTATCTATCTATCTAATGCTCTTAGACCTTAAACCATTCAAAAAGTTTAATGAAACTCTCCCATAGATAATAAACTTATGATTGCACTTTGTAAGATAGTTGAGACAAAGGTTGAATCCAGTAACAAACCAGTTGTTTCAGCTTCTCAAAAAATATCATTTATGCTAAGGATTAGGGTATCTAGCCTATTTCTTTTTTTGTCTTTCTAAGAACACTTTTAACACACTACAATGGATATAAATGAAACTGTATACTCTCATTTGTAAGATTTTGTCAGCTTTGTGTATTGATGAACAGCTTATATAATGCCACATTATCTATGTTGCATTTGTTTTATAAGGAGAGGAAAAAAAGCACAAATACACTTGGTTAACTTTCATCCAAATCTTTTATTCTGATATTTTTATTCGACTAAGTAACTATTAAAAGTCACACCTCAGTGTGACTACTAAAGCTGTGACCAAATATAGAATTATCAACTCTCTGATTAAGAGAACAAAAAGGTTATTTTTAGTATATTGAGTGGCGCATCTCCTTGTGTTAAAATAATAACACCAATTTTAGCCCACAAAAGATGCATATTTAATACATGAAAAAGCAGTTACAGCGAATACCTTAATATAAGCATGAAATTTCAGCGTATTATACTTCCAAAGGCTTGGCATTAACTGAGTTTTAGCAGCAATTCAACTTACCACACTCTATATAGTGCATAAAAAAGGAGAGAGGACACAGACTCAAAAGAAGTGTAACGAGTAAAAACTTACAGGGAAGAAAGAAGAGTAACATGAAAAGACATGGGGATTTGATGGATCTGAGAGATTACAAAGAGTGAATGCATCTGCGCCATTCATTGAGAACGACTTAGAGTCAGAGCACCCTGAGGACTCCAACCGTGCAGTCTACATCTCTCTACGTGGCTGCTACAAACCAACTGTCGAAGACTTCATGAACTGATAGCAGGTTTTAATTTGACCAACCCCAAGTATTTTCCTAATTAATCCTGTGTCAGCTAACATTCCTCCACAAGGACGACAGTGCCCTCACATGTGTAATAGGTGTCCTAGCCACCTCAACCAAAGACTTGATAACCGAAACACCTATTTACTACATTGTTTAATAGAGATTCTACACATTTTTTAAATGACATTCAAAATTTAAGGAAAAGCAATCGAATCAACTGGTACCTTTTGCCGTCTGCTAACTTTTGGTGCATCTTTATGGACAACTTCTTGGCTAAAATTTAAAAAAAATAATAAAGGCATTAGTGTTGTATAAGCATAAATGTCTTTTAAAAGATTCGTAAACAAATGATTCACACTACAGCTTCATGAAGATACATAGACACAAGCGGTGAAACACAGGGTAGCATAATTGCATACAATTTCAAGTCGCCACACTTTAAAACGGCAAAGCAATAGAATAAAACAGCGGATATAGAAAACAAAGATAAAAGACACGAGATAATACGTGGAATGGAAACTTTTGACACTTTTAATATCAATAATCAAAAGATGATGAACAGTGAGTGTCATTTACTGCCGATTATTAACCATATCCGTTTATCTCATCCTTAATCACCAACTGATACGGTAACACGAATACCAATACATTTTAACAGTCAATATTAGATTTTGAAGGCACACCAATTAACTCACACTGAATATTCGTAAATATAAGTTAAGCATGATCGAAGTCACAGAGACTGCATCTACACATGTTCAAATGTTTCTTTGAACATGGATAAAAAGATATTTACCTTGAGTTCTAGTCTTGTCAACCGAGATACAAGTGCCATGTCGCAATTATTGAGGCTCTATCTTCACAATGCATTAATAGATAATAGTTACTAGTAGTAATTTTTATTTGGCAAGTGGAACTGTAGTTCGTTGACACAAGCCCTTGAATTTCAAGGGTTTCAAATCCCTCAGCCCATCACGGTTTGCTAAACAAGTGACACACTAGTCAAATCACTGGCTTTGATTCAAATAAGGTGCTTTCATTTACCGTCAGCTATTAATAGACTTATCCCTGCCCCGTACAGTAACCTACAAGGGGTTTCTCCGTTCGAATTTAGTGCTAAATATTGGTGTCAAGCGATTTGGTGCATGGTGGCTGGCACTAAGATCCAGGGCGCGAGTTTCGCCCTATTTAGGACTCATCAATTGGATGTACCAATAGCCCCCAAATGCCGAGTCCCAAATTGGACATGTGTATCCTGGATTCCCCTCACTGCTGGTCACCATCCACTAGATTACTTCAAGTTAAATCCTCACACATGGTTTAAGCGTCCGTAGTAGGAGCCAGCATGCCAACAGAGGTCAAACGTTTCGGTCCAATCAACGGGAAAAGCAAAGTTGAATGAAAAATAATTTGTTGTGAGAAGTTAACCAATCTGCTAATTTGTTCATGGATAAAGAAAATTCAAATATAATGATACTGACTTTAAAGCAACAGATATTCAAGTGCAGGACGGTAAAACTGGAATTTATAGATTGACGGCAGCCACACTTAATGAAACCAACTAAAACAGTACAATAACTAAGGATACAGCATATTCTACGTATATAAGATACAGTCATACCAATACTTATTGACGAAACAAAACGAGGTTAGCAGGACGACATAACAGTGATTGGAAATGAGTGCAGGAAAGGAATGATTATGTGATTGGGTAAAAACACTTAAATTTCCAAGGAAAACCGGGAATGAATTTATGGCCCTATCGTGAATGGATCTATTTGACGTTAATACCAGTCTACATTAGGTAATAATAAAGGCCCCACAAAGATTACCTGTACTGCAATGTGACTCAATGGATTCATCAGTTAATTTCTATCCCAGCCAGTATTCTACAGTCAGAACTAAGACTGTCTCACTATATAAAAACAAAACTGATCTAGGTCTTTCTCTTTACCTTATACAGATAAAAATAGATAGCGAACACACCATACACTAATTACTTCAAAAAATTGATAGAAGTGATTAGTCTTGTTAATGAGACATGCATTAAGCTACACCCAAAAAATTCGTTGGTGAATACAATTACTACCAACTACATAAATCGAAATGGAAGTATCCTTCTATTATTTTAGAATTGTCATTTGAGTATAGCTATAATCCTTGATCTGAATAATGTGCATGAAGGAGATACATTAACTTTAGCAGCGAAAAAATCTAACATTTCCCTAATGCTTATAGGTATAACGCTAAAATATTTTATTGAAATACAATGAGGGTATGAGAAGCATCACAAAGGGGCTATGATTTAGAATTCGAGCTTCAGAATTCCCCAATAAGTTGACATTAAATTTCCTAAAAACGAACATTAAGTTTTACAGTCTTTTAAAGCAGTACTATCCACAAATTTAAACGCTATTTCTGCCATGTTGGTAAAGAATAAAGTCATTATAACATATCCTTATTAGGCTTTGTCAACGCACTCAATATTGCTCTAAATCCTAGAACAAACACACCTTGTGCCATTTTCTGACTCTGAACTGGAGGCCATTGGTTCGTTGGTAGGTGGTGATACCTATAAACCTTGCTCAAACACCATACGCTACTCACGTGAAAGGTAGCGCAACGGCTGAATATACCTGTATGCGTCCAATATACAATAATGGTTTTGGGAGTTAGTGTAAACCAGATTGATTTCTTTGTGCTCACTTATTAATTCTAAGGTAAACAGATGAAGTTAAAGTAACAGCCAAATTCGCGGCTCGCCAAAAGTTGCCCTTCAAGAGCCGGTCAGACGCTATGAAAGATAACTCCCAATCAAACAATGGCTCCCTTTTTTAGATTTGGCGAGGGAACACACAGTATTTTAATTATTCCCTAGGTGCTTTTTCTGAGACTGTGTACTGTTAGGTAGGGTTGTGATTTTTAAGATAAACAGTTAGGGTTAAGTTTAGAACTACGGTTAGGACTCTCGCTGACCATGCACATCGTCCAGGGTTCGACCCCACACCGACGCACACCTGATATCTATGGTCGGCCTGAAAAATTTGGGCTACCGATATCACATGCTGAAAATTGCATACTTGCACCAAAAATACTTTATGCGTATTTTTCTCCGTACTGCTTACAGTAATTTCCTAAATAGCTGCTAGAACAACCTTTTGTTATCATTATTATGTAATGATTATTTTTTTGTCGTTTTTGAGTGAATTAGATGCAATATCGTACTGAATGCTGAAAATTCCTTGCTGTATAATTAGTACTCTTTTTGGAATAAAGCAAGTTATTAATATTATAATCAAAAAAATTTAGGATTGTGTTGAGGGTTAGGAGTAGGTTAAAGAACAGTATCAAAAATGTCAGTGAATCTCAAAGTACAAAAGCCTACAGTCACCCGCATGAATGCATGATATGATTTCCCCATAGACCATCTGCGTAGTAACTGAGAGGCATTCTTACAACACATATGCGACAGCTAGGTAGTTTAATTTCATGTTTGCAGTGGTTTTTTAGTATATTTTTATCTGAATCCTGACTGACTGTTTAAGGTCACTGCGACTATGATAATAGTTTGACTCTGCCGGCAAAAATTCCTGATCTCCATATGGAGTATGTCCCACTATTAAGTGGTGTTTCGATTGGTTATATACGGTTTCCAACATGCGGTGTGTTTAGAATGTGTCGCTGCTGCAGATAGAGTTGATCCCTTCACTCGTTGATCTTCCCGTGCGGTCAGAAAAAGAGATCGCAACGAGTGATCCATCAAAGATACAATGGCAGAAGATATTTGTTCGTGTTATTCTGATTGTAGATTTAAATTTGCATACATACCCTAGTTCTCATTATCATTACTGTCAACACAGAGTCTAGGCCGTGCAATGGTTAAAACACAGGTGACTCAACATAAACTTTACCTGTTTCTGTAATACGGAAATAATAGCGGTTTATCAACGTACATGAAAACCCCACACCCTTCCTTGTGGTTCCTATCTCTTTCGATCAGAACCATATCGTTTACATTGACTTCCTTGTCGGCCAGGTTTCTGTGATATTATTTTGAGTTACAGGTGTGATTAAAAAATTATGATTCGCTTTATTCTAAAGCAGTACTTACGATACTTTGTGAAGTCCTCAGCACTTGGTACAATGTCACATCTGATTTACTCAACAACAAAAACGCTTTACACAGAATGGGTAACCAAAATCGGTGATAACAGCTTCTTGGCATTAGCAGTAAAAATAAAGTTGGAAATGTGCAGAAAGTATTAAGTGATAATAGTATTAATAGCTAAAATTACAGGATAATTGAAGTACTGTCACCGTAAATAACAAGGAGAAGATAGAAGAACCGTTTATTTTGAAAAATACATAGCAAGTTATAGAGATTACGCGAACCAAAAGGGGTCCAATCGAGCTTTCGCACTCGGATGTGCGAGTACATAATGTTTTTATACTGCTTAAGTCTATTTTAAATATCATAATAATTGGATGATGTCTCGAGCACAAATTATTGCTTCTTATCATAAGTTTAGTCATGATGCTTCTTGATTTCCTCCAGGTGCGTATTTATCTCTCTGTTTCCTCTGTTATTTTCCGCCATTCAAATATCTCCGGTATAGGCGATGCGTTGCCTCGACTACACGTGTAAGGGGTTGAATCTATAAACAAAGAGTCAGTGACTGAACTATCTGTCCATCTGACAATATCACTTTTTGATACTCTCACTCTGTCTCACAATACTGTGTGAGTGCATGCAAGCGAATGCATTCCATTGCAATGACTGGGCTTTTCTCTAGGTTATCCAACTTAGCAGGGTCAGTCGTTCTAGATCTAGCTAAATTTTCATGTTCCAATAAAATAATTCGCCCTGATCTACTAGTCTGATCTATGCAATTGAACTGACATCACAGTCATTACATTGATAGGAAATATATATATATTATCTAGTATATGATATTAATTTCCTTATTTGCAACTTTTGGGTCCTTAAGCCAACAAGGTTTATTTCTGAGGGAGTTGGTTGATTTATTTAAATGTGCCCCTAATTCCAGCCTAATTGAGAATCCTACGTAAGGCCACTGACGTTTCTTCCTTATACAACAGTACTGCGGAAGGTTTGAATTCTGTAATATTTGTGTTATTTTTGTCATTTTTATTACTAATCTCATTTTTTCAGTTGTTATTCATACATTTCTGAATAAATTCTGATGGGTACTTATTCACTATTAATATTTCTTCATATTCTTGATTTCACTGTTTAAATCTTCTGACCCACTATTTGGGCTCCTGGCCCAAATACACGGACATTCAACTAGATTTACACCTTTACCAAGTCTCTATGGGGTGAATTAAAGACTAGGTATTTAATAGCGTGTCGGCTTCTGATAAATGCTAGTATATAAGCAGCCATGGCTACACATATTATACCACTGTTGCCTATCAAACAATGCCGTTTGCTCAAACAAACTGTTGCTGCATATTTTTGAGCCAAACAGGTTGGATGAATTTGATGGACTAGATTCAAACTGAGGCTTAGTCCCAGGCTGCTTGCCTCTGTTCCTACGATCACTAACTTCGCATTGTTCCTAGATGTGTTTCTCCTGTATAGCACTACCAAGTCCATGACTGGTGCAGATGGATTCCTTGCAATTCCGGGGACTCTCTGTTCCTCGGACTATCGCGTTTGTGGGACTCATACGTTCACCAAATGTTCACCAGATGCGACATAATGTGTCTTCGGTTTGCGTGAATTTTTTCCTCCAGTCAGTTGGGTTGGGTAATTGTGCCTATGGTTTTCGTCTAATGTGGAAGGTATTCTGGGTTTGTCTTCTGGAGAAGCACTGTATAAGACTGTGCCAAAGCGACAAGCTGCGCAAATGTGCTGGAACCATGGTCACGGCCTATTTCGCATAAACTCAGAATATGGCTTCGTCAATCCTTTCCTACGTCGGCATTGCACCGATCGATTATGAGATTTGGATTCAAATTATTATTATTGTTTCCTTTAATTCCTACAGGAACATAGGGCTTCAGCCGTGCGTCTTCATTGCGTTCGATTCTCTGCTAGAGTCTTCACCTAGCTCCAAGTTTGCCCACACGCTTTCATCTCCTCTTCACATGACCTCCTCCAAGTCACCCTTGCATTGACGACCAACTCGCCGCTTCCCTTTCGGGTTCCACTCGAGCAATGGCTTGTCTAGTGATGTCACTTGATGGTTTCCTCAGAGTATAGCCAATCCATCTCCATTTCTTCCTGCCTATTTGTTGCACAATCGGTTCCTGGTTGGTTCGCTCATTGCCAGAGATCTCTGTTGCTGATCTTTTCTGACTGGCCATCTGATCTTGAGTATTGAGCGAAGACAACTGTTAATGAAGGTCTGTAGTTTGTTTGAGATGCTCTTTATGACGCGCAGTGCAAGTCTCTGATCCGTATAGTAGCACTGACTTCACATTGGAGCTGAAAATCCGGATCTTATCTTCTTTTGATGCTGAGTGCTGTTGACCTCCACACAGACTTGAGAGTAGTGAAAGCTTGTCTTGCTTTTCCGATTCTTGCTTTGATATCCTCGTCAGTTCCGCCTGTAGTTGAAACGATGCTTCCCAGGTCGGTTGGTGAAGGAGGTTGTTTCTTTCAGGTTCCTTCCATTTATGCTGATTGTTGTCTGCTGTTGTTGTTGCTGTTTGTGGTGTTGTCCAGGAATCTTCATCACCTCTGTTTTCTCTATGTTCACCTGAAGTCCTATCTTTGATGCTTCTTCTGCCAACTTGTTACTTTTCGCTTGCATGCCTGCCAGTTTGTGATAAATCAGACATATATCATCGGCGAAGTTCAGATCCCCCAAGTTTTTTGTGTGAGTCCATTGCCCGCTGTTTGTCGCATTATCCAATCTACTGCAATCAGGAAAATCATTGGCGATAGTAGGCAGCCTTGTCGTACTCCTGTCTTCACTTCGGAGGATTCCGTGAGCTTCCCGTTGTGGATTACTTGGCATGCAGCGTTGTCATACAACTGTTGGATGAGATGTATAATTGTCGGCGGCACCCCGTAGTAGCGAAGTAGTTGCCAAATCACCTCTCGATCGACGCTGTCGAAGGCCTTTTCAAAGTCGATGAAGTTGGGATAGAGAGGTGACTGCCATTCCAAACTTTGTTCAATGATGATCCGTAGTGTGGCGATTTGATCAATACATGACTTGTTTCTCCTGAATCCAGCTTGTTCCGGTCGAAGTTTTTCATCCAGGGCTTGTTTGATCCTTTCCAGGATGATGCGGCTTAGTATTTTGCTTGGAATGGACAGGAGCATAATTCCGCGCCAGTTCTTGCATTGACTTGGGTGTCCTTTCTCTGGTAGTTTGAATAAGTATCCTTTCTTCCAATCCTCAGGTACTTTGCCTTCTTTCCACACCTTCTCCAGTAGTGGTGTCATCAAGTCCGCTGTTGTCTCTGGATCCGTTTTCAATGCTTTTGCTGGGATTCCATCTGGTCCTGCTGCTTTTCCAGCTTTTGGCATCTCGATTACCTTCAGGACTTCTGATTTCGTCAGGGGGTTGGTGTTCACTGGTAGCTCTGTCTCCGTCGTTGGTATTGTTGGGCGCGTTGTAGGTGGTGGTCGATTTAGGAGTCTTATGAAGTGTTCAGCCCTGTGTTTTCTTTGTTGCACTTCTTTGGTGAGTGACTTTCCGTTGTGATCTTTCACCGGCTTAATTTGTGTCAAACGTTTGCCCGACAGGTACCTTGTT